ATTTGTATAATATATAGATATTTAATGACTAAAAAATCTATCATCATAGATAATTACCAAAACTTCAACATACCTTCGTGCAAAAATGGATGTGTCAACTTGTTGGAATTCATCCTTTCTTGCCTGGGAACAACTTCTACTTATTAAAGATGCTATCAACATTGTCTTAGCAATATTAATCGTTTCGAGTGCACCTGAAGTGCAGAAAGATATGAAAAGGCTAAAAGAAATACAATTAACCGATAATGAGTGGGATTTGATGCGAGATATTGTTAATATTTTGGGTCCTTTTTTTGAAGTTACAGAAGTACTAGGTGGTTCTGAATATGCTACATTTTCCTCTATGATTCCTTCTATTTTAGGATTGATAGAAAAGTTAGATTGCTCTATAAACTACCCAGACGAATCGAATTATATAAACTTTGAAACAATTGACTTAGTATTCGATGATAATGTTGGATATGTTGATGCACAGGAAGAGGAAGAAGGTAGTTCTAAAGATTGAAAAATTAAAATCAATACACCTATTGATGTCACTAATATGCAACACAAAATTAAAAATGCATTATATAATGTACTTTTACACTATTGGGATTTGTCAGATAACGAATTATTCCTTGCATACCTTCTGGATCCGAGGTTTAAAAAATTAAGATTTGCAATATCAACCTAACAACTTCAAGCCAAAGCTGCCCTTTGAGAAAAATATAATGATATTAAATTACTTTAATCTTCACTAACCCCAATAAACCAACCTTTAAATGTCTATGAAGAACAACCTTCTGCTGAAAATAGTTGATGCCAAATTTATCAAAAAATGTTCATCAAATCAATTTTTATACACAATACCATCGATGAGCCAAATGATGAAATAAGCCATTACCTTTCTTTACCTGAAGTTTCTTATCATCATAATTCCTTTCACTGGTGGAATGCTCAAAAAACTTCTTTTCCTCTCTTAAGTGAACTTGCAAGACAGTATCTTGCTATATCCACGATCTCAACTCTGAATGAGCGACTTTTCAGTAAAGCAGACAATATAATGACTATAAGAAGAATGATGCTAAAACCAAAATTATTTGAATGGTTGTTATTTTTAAAACAAAACTGTAATGAATTAGATAATACTTATGATTTGATTGTGTAAAATTTTTTATTTTTTTTTTTGAAAAGATTGATTTTTTTTTTTTAGTATTATTATATTATTTTATTCTTATTTTTTTTTCTTTCTTTTTTTTCTTTTTTTTCTTCTTTTTTGCTATCATAATAACGGACGTGAGATATAAATTTTTATATTATTCTATCTCCATCATCCTTTCCCTCTATAAGTGATAGCTTGAAATGCATAATTGTTTAACCTGAATCATTAAATATAAATTTCTTTTACAAAAATCAATTTTATTAAATAAAAATAGATTAAAAAAAAACAGCTCAGTATAATAATTTGCATAACCTTTTCAATATGAACCTTTAATTTTAAGAATAATCAACAATTTTCTACAAAGTACAAAAAACTTTTGTACTGTAATTTAGATTTATAGGTTCAAGGAAACTTTAAACAGATCCTAACCTTATCGAATAATAGTTACAAGAATATTGTTTTAAATCTAGCATGCTAGGGATGCTAGAGAACAGAATTGCTGAGATCTGGAGCTTGGAGATCTAAAACTAGCAAGTGAACTAAAGTCAAAAGGGAACTAATTAATACTTATATTAAAAACCTTATAAGTTCTGTAATCTAAAAAGTTAAAAATAAATTTTGTATATAACTAAAGAAGTATGCATCATCAAATATTATCGAATATCATTGAATATATCCGATATTTATTCAGATTTTTCATCGGTTATTCGGATATAAAATAATTGACCAAATGAATATCTAAATTGTCTTTTTTTGACCGGATCAGACCTCTACTTACAGTACATAATACTATAAAGTTATTTTCAAGGCAAAAACTCTATATTACTATCTTTTTTACAAAAAAAAAATTTGTTATCTGTAAATAATAAATATTATATATATATATTTTGAATATAAAATACAAAACCAGATTATTTTGAACGATCTTATAAATCTTAACATAAATCTGAGCTGCATTTCAGAATTTTTGATCTTAATAAATATGACTATAAAAGTACGAAACACTCTAGTAATTAAAGACAACAATGCTATTATGGTTATTATATTTACCGATTATATAGATTAAGATTCATTTACTATTGAAATAGACTGCTATTATTTAGCCTCTGCACTGCATTTAATACAAATAACTCCTACAATAAAAAAAAAATTCTGTTCTCTTTATTAGTGAGGAGTTCATTTTATATAATAATAGTAATTATAAATATGTCAAAAGTATGTCCTTTTCAGACTAAAAAAAATTATTGCTGAACCCTATAAATATTTTATGAAAAACTGAAATATCAAACAAAGCAACAAAATCTTAAAGCATTGCTAAAAAAATTACTACAAGAATTAATACAAATAGCAAAAATAAGGATTCATTGTCTATGAAAAAATCTCATCAGTAACTAAACCTTCTCTTGCAAGTTCTAAAGCAAGTACTAAAAATAAAGATTCATTATTTAAAACCAAAACTTCATCTATAACTAACCCTTCTAACACCAACTCTAAAAATAAAAAAAACCATTCACAATTAATAATAAACCCTCAATCAAACCTTTATCTGAAATTGCCAAACTATATACTTGAACTAGAAACTGACAGATCTAGCGAAAGAAGCATTAACTAATTCAAATGAACAAGCAACAACCTCTCTATCTACTAATACTCAATTGAAAATAAATAATGTGCTATAAGCCATATCTATTTCTAAAAATCTAAAAATTTATTAACATTTATTTGAACATATTGTATAAAAAAAAAAATTTTTTTTTTCTATTTTTCTTTTTTATTTTATTTTACTTATCTGTAAAAAATATCTATCATTCAATAAATATACCTCCAAATATTCTTTTTATTGTGTTATATCTATATATTAGATTTCAAAATATGTAAACCAAATTACAGAATCTAAAAAATTTTTATACTTAAATAAATAAATACTGAAATAAAGAATAAAAAAATCTATCTGATATAACCTAATAATAACAATTCAAATCATGTAAAATAACAATTCTAATTACTAAACTATAAAACAAATAAAAGTATTATGATTTACACATTATGCACTTTTTTCTTTTTTAAATATTAATAAACTACATTATTTCATTTGCTAAATTTGGTAAACAAATATGTTTTATCTAAAATTTCAAAACTTAGAATCCTCTAACTGCATCATAATACTTAAGCCACCCTTATTGGTTAGAGCAAAATTCATACTATAACTATTAAATTAATAAATAAAATTATTATTACTAAATCAAGAGATTTTCCCTTTATTATCAAACATATTTAAAGAAATCATGTAATAACAAGAAAAAACCTGTATGTAAAATACATTATACACTATACTAACAAATAATAAAAGAAAATAAATAAATTAAACTATTCAACTTTAGCATAATAAAATTACAAACTTATATCAAACATAAATAGATTAAACTATCCAATTTTAGTATAATAAAATCACAAACTTAAATCAAACAAATTTAGAAAATCATTTATTTCAAACTAATTCACCACAACAAAATCATAAATTACAATATAACAAGCAAATAAATATTCATATATAAACAACTGAGATTAAACTCTCTTTACCAAAAATTTAACTATTTTCAAATCAAAAAACTAAACATCACCAACAATCAACTTAGTTGATAAACTCAAACACTTACCAGAAAATATCATTTTTTATAAATTAAATCTTAGAAATTGAACCTCTCAAATATGGTAAACAAACCTTTAATATAAACATATTTGATAAAATATCATTATAATCAACAAAAGGGTGCAGCGACCTAGTGAAGTGGTGGGGTTGCTGCACCCCCAAGCGGCAGGTCTAGAGTTCGAATCCCACGGA